ATATTAATATGTATACTAATTATTAGTTTAAAATTTTTTATTTAGGTTGATGAGTATGTTGTCGAGTTCGAGGGTTCTGGACCCCGACACACATCCTCTCGAAATGTGAATGCTTCCGTTCGGCGGAAGAGGGAACGGATGCGCCTTCATGCTCGCAGGTACAGACTGCCCAAGCTGGTAGTTCGAGACATCATGTTGCTCCGATACAGAGTGGTCAGCAGTATGGCCCAGTCATGCCTCAGTCAGGCCCAGTCATGCCTCAGTCTGGCCCACTCATGCCTCAGTCTGGCCCATTCATGCCTCGGTCTGGCCCACTCATGCCTCGGTCTGGCCCCTTCATGCCTCAGTCTGGCCCATTCATGCCTCAGTCTGGCCCACTCATGCATCAGTCTGGCCCATTCATGCCTGGCAGTTGGAGTGGTCAGCAGTCCTTGTCAGTGAGGCCTAGCAGTTCTGGACATCTCCCGACTATACGTATTGTTCGTCGGCGGGACTCCATTGAGTCGACAGTCAGGAGTCCGAGGCATGATGATGATGATGATGATGACAACGACGAGCAGACCTATGATGATGACGAGCAGGCCTATGATGATGACGAGCAGGCTTATGATGATGACTTTGATGCAGCTGAGCAGCCACTGACCCAGCCACAGGCACGTCCAGGTAAACGACTCGGCCGAGTTGATCCTCCACGACAGGCTGGGGGCCGTTATACGAGCGCTGCCTCATCTTCAGGTAAATGATTTACGTATTTATTGTTGTTTATCATTAGAAATTATTTTATTTAATAATAACGCATCATTGATACAATCAATCACAGTATGCCGTATATATATTAATTGTGCTATTATAATACAGGGGCGAGTAGCAAACGCACTAAGTGTGACGGCTGGCTTGTTAAAGCCCCAGTACCCAGTGGCCCCTTTGACGGGAGTGTTATCCCTAGTTTTCTAGGGCACGTAGCCTCCCGGATTTGGACAGGACATGTTAGAGGCACGTTGAAGTGCCAAAACAGAATGTCAGCGAACGGTGTTTTGAGGGAGTGGCTCGTACGGATGGCTGAGGCTCCGCTTGATCTGATCCGTCCGACTGGGCTGTCACATTTGGCGTCCAGCATGCATGACCACATCGACACTCCACTTATTTCAGCATTTGTGGAGCGCTGGCAGCCGGATACCAACTCGTTTCACATGCCTTTTGGTGAAATGAGTATCATGTTGCACGACGTGAGGGCGATATTGGGGGTTCCTATCGTCGGTACGGTAGTCATAGGGGACCCCGACACCTTAACACAGCAAGCGCATTGCATGGAGCTCCTGGGGGTGGACCAGGCAACGCTGATAGCGAAGTTCTGGGGTCACGGCTCGGTGACGAATGAAGCCGTTTTTACTGCGTTGCAAAAGAATGGCGCAGGTCGGTCGGCTGAGCATGTGGCGATTGGCTGGCTGTGGGTGCTGCTCTCTACCACCTTGTTTACAGACAAGAGTGGTAACAGGGTCAGTTCCAAAATCCTGCACGAGATGATGGAGGACCTGCAGAGTGTTGGGACTTACTCGTGGGGCTCGGCCGCACTGGCATACCTATTCAGACATTTAGGTATGGCCAGCAGGGGGGAGTCGGGGGGAGTGGCGGGCTGCTTGACTCTCATGCAGTCCTGGATATACGAGTACTTCCCCACCTTCCGATCCGCCGGTTCGCGTATGGCCTCCGAGCCTGACAGCTTGGCCCAATCAGCCTTGTGGAGGACCCCCGTCCCAGATAACTCAGATAAGCGCCTCAAGCATTTCCGTAGGCAGCTTGACAGACTCACAGCCGCCGAGGTACGTTAAGTTATTTTATTACATTTACTTGAAAGTTATTTAGAATACTCGAATTGTTTGAATAAATGTTTTATGCAATTGTGAACAGGTAAACTGGCTGCCATACGGCCCCAACCCACATTTGCAGGAGCTCAGGACCCTTTATTACGGATGCCTTAGGTACAGGGATATTGTGGAGCCGTACATGCCTATGCGTTTCTTGCGTCAGTTGGGCTACGTCCAGACGATCCCTCCCCGCATGGATCGTCCGATCACTGTATTTCGTGGTTGGGATGCTAGGATGTACAGGGTTGAGCATGCATCGGACGCTGCAGTAGATTACTGGGATCAGTTCCCGGTACTGCATTCTGTACGCTTGTCTGATTTTACTCCCACCACCACAGATGATCTAGGGGCGGCCCATGAGGACTACCAGCGATGGTATGAGCGTTATTCTCATCCTAGACTCTTGCCCGACAGTCAGGCGGACAACGAGGCTGTCCCTGTGCGCGCCAACACAGATTACGTAAGTTGTTTACTAAATTTAGTTAGTATTCGTTCATTACAATTTTTTTATTATATTTTAATTATGTGTATATATTTTCGTTGTGCTTTGTGTAGTGGATCGGACGGTCCATGTCCCTTTCATCAGATATGCATCAAGAGATCGCGACACTTGCTCCTGATAGGGCGGCAATTTATGCAGAAAAACTGGCTCAGTTGAGGTTGGATTTCGACAGAGCGCAGTAGTGATGTAATAATTACTTATTTTTTTTTATATATATATTTTGTTTTGGATGTTGTCAGAAACCACCCGAATTGTTTTTTTTTTATTTGTGGTTAGTTAATTTTATTTTCATCTAAACAAAAAATTCTCTCATTATATCACGTGAAACGGTAGACACGGCGAGATATCACAATCTATCACTCGTAACGCATGAAAATAAAATTTAAAAAAAAAACCGCAGACATAAGTCGAATATCACAATATATCAAATTCCAGCTGCAGTACGAATATCATTCCACAACTGGAACCTGCTCTGGTACTGATACGGCCAATCTCGAACCGAAACATCTCGGTATTTCTCCCAAAAAAAACACAAAGGCGGTAATGGAGAATCAGAACACAGATTGATACGAATGAAGTGCGAGTAGGAACCAAGATGACCTATGACGATCTCACAGTCAGGTCGTGTAGCCGTGGATGGTGCGCGGATCGGGAATACCGTCATACTAGCCATGTCCATATTGTTATCGTTGGGACCATAGCTTAGCAACACGACAACTGCATTGAACAGTGTAGCAATAGCAAAGAGGTCGCCCGTAGCATTCATCCAATGCTCCTCGCCACAAGGACCCCCGTCCCATCTTATACGATCGATTGCGACGTCGACCCCATCCCAATAAAATGGAGCGTACAAATGAATGTTGGCTGCAACCTCATTTGCAATATTTCTTCTTGCCACATCCCACTTCTGCTGATCCCTATAAATGTAACTCGCAACCACCCGAAATCCGCAGTTCCCGTCCGGCGTCACATCCAGATAACTCTGTACGTAGCTGTGAACTACGTAGGGAATCCTACCACGATGTCGGTACTGAAAAAAATCCGTCTCGAATGTATCTGTAATATCAGAATAATTTCACGTCATAATTTAGGTAATTGAATTTACAAACATAATTAGTCATCGTTCAGATAAAAAATAAAATTAAATTACCTGTCGGATCTTGAGACGATGAGCTTGTCGGGGCACACGAAGAAGTGCTTGTACGACCCACCGGACGACCTCTTTCCCTGTAGTCCCACATCGACGGAGCACAAGAAGAAGTGCTCTTACGCCCCGGCCGACGACCTGTTTCCGTGTACCCCGATTGCGATGGAGCACACGAAGAAGTGCTTTTACGCCCCGCCGTACGGCCTCTTTCACTGTACTCCCATCTCGATAGATCGCGTTTTGTTGAATTTTTCTTCTTGGGCCGACCTCTCGGATTTTCCTTCACTGCAGGTTCTGTGTATCCCTGTTGATCAGGGTGAAGCTGAGAGTCGATGAGATGGTTCAGGTACCGTACAGTCGCAGGATCGGCCGCTTCAACCTCCTCGGCAAGCCTCCGAAAATAATCATGATCAGTCCATCCACTCGCCGATGCACTCTGCTGACCTGTCCGTACCGAAAATTTAAAGAATTATACAATATGCTCTATCAAAATTTCTATAAATTAAATAAAATTTAGGAGAAAAAAATGTTGAGCATGATGTTCT